CCCCCCCCCCCCCCCCCCAGATGTCTGTCGAAGTTCCCCATTATCAACATCCTGGGGGTCATCATTGACTAGAAACTGGATTGGATGCACACAGACAACAAAGAGGTCAGCAGCTGGGAATTGTCTGGAAAATAACTTCCCAAAGTCTTTTGTCCACCAAATCACGAGTCAGGGCTATGAAGAAATATTTGCCACTTACCTAATCAGGTACAGATTTATCAACACGAAGTTCAACACAATCTAGAAAAAAGGCACTCTGTCTGCCACCTTTCAACATTTCACTCTTCCACCATTGGTCCATGCTAGCAGCAGTGTGTACCATCTACAGGCTGCACTGTCGCAACTTTCCATGGTTTGTTTGCCCACATTTTTTTCTATGAACCCACACCATCCTCACCCGGAAGTTTAAGGGTAGCAGGCACAAGGGACTCTCTCTTTCTTTTTGTCTGAAAGTTTCCTGAGTCTCTCTCAATCTAACTTAGAAATGTATTTACATTCCTGTGTCTGAATTCCAGTACTTTTTTTTTGTAGTAACAGCATTGTGGTTCACTCTTTTCCCTATATAGTCAGCAGCCATTCAGGAAAATGGCACCTTCACTGATACCTCCTGTGGGCAATTAGGGATGTGCAATAAATAACAGCAGCACCACATCCCAGGTGTAACTTTATTTGAAAGAAATGACTTGTGCAAAGACTTTGCACAAGATGGTGAAGTTATGTCTCTGTTTTTTGATTTCTGGTATATGCCAAGGTTTAATAGCATATGCATCAGCTTTCCTGCTCCTCTGATGCTTCATGGCCTGCTGTGTTCATCCAGCTCTAAACCTTGTTATCTCTACATTTTTGTGATCTTATTTTAGGTTTATTGGTTCTGCAACGATTTCCTTGAAAGACCTTGCAAGTGGCCAAAAGACATTACCTTTCAAAAATGTTGCATTGCTCACTGAAAAGAAGCAGCCAACTGGGGTAAGTAAATGTAAACCTGTCACAATCAATTTAGTCCCTACCCAATCCCAGCACTTTTTTGTTTTTTTTGCTCAACATTCCAGTGGAGTGAGCAGTTTTCTCTTTTTGTAAAAAGAAAATGGCCAAGACCCACTGCCAAAGCCTGTATGCACACCATGTCAATAGATGTTACATTTTACAAGCACAAATTTGGACTTGTCATCAGGAAAATAAATTTTTAATGCACTTCAAGGCTTCAGATCTGCACCTGATATCATCAAGCACTCTAGCTGTAGTGGCAGCATGTTTCACTATAGAATATTGTCCTAGGACATCAGCATAGACCTTAGAGGAATATTAAGTTGACTGTTTAGACCCCTCTACATTTATAGAAATCTGCTCCTTCATTTTTTATCTGAAATGTTTAATTATGGTCTCTTTTTGAACTCAGTTATTCTTCAGCTTTGTCATGGAAACAGTGTTTCATGAAACTAGTGTATTTTAACATCTTAGTTGTCTATTGGTCTGTCTATGCTTGTATTAAGACACTCTCCAATCTTTGGGTTGATAAGTATAGTGATAGACGCAGCAAAGCATTCCGGCTAAAGATGCTGTATGGTTCTTGTTTTGATTTTAGTGTGTAAGTTCATCCCACGCTTGCTTTTATACAAATCAGAATTTGTTTTTAAGGTTGTGAATGCCGGGCGTTTTGTGAATGCCGCACAGGTTGCTAGTTCATGGAACCACCCTGATAACAGGATAATTTAATGAGTGCAACAAAAATGCAACCATGTGATTCATTCACCAGAAGTGGAAATTTAAAAACAGCCCACACATGCTGCTACCAACACTTTAATTGTGTAAATTTGTGCTGCACAACCTATTTGAGCATAGTTGTAATATACAATATTGCAACAGAATCCATTCAAAGCTGCACTGCATCAGGGTGAAGTGTTGCACATAAAATAATGAAATGTTAAAGTTCCGCATTTCATACTTTTGCCTATTTCAGAACATTCAGGCCATTACAGTTTGGAATCTGTAATGGACAAGTTTTTAACAAACAGATGAGGTTTGCAGATATTACATCAGGGTGTATCCACCTTTTTAAGTTGAGCAACCAATGCCTACCTAAATAACTTTCATCACTTTTTACGTGTCGTGTCTTGTCTTGTCTTGTGCCACAGTTGAAATACTATTGGAATCGCTGTGGAATTTCTGAGCATTGTGCGATCAAAGCCTTCATCATGATGTATTTTAAGCTAACTTTGAATTTTTGGGCCAATGGCGCTCTTGTTAATAGTAGATGTGCTCAATACTGAGCACATGAGGGGTCATCTGTTTTGGGCTATGGTAGATTAGAATATGCTTTCTAAATTGTGCTCAACTAGAAATGTAAAAATCTGTGTCCACATGCATAAATCACTAAATAGTGGACAAATACAAAGTCACTTTTTTAAAGGTTATTGAAGGGGTGGAAGTTAAGCTGCAATTGTACAAAGCCAAGTTTGACCACTTCTGAAATGCTTTGTTCAGCTGCGGACCATCCAACGCGGGATTTTACTTGAAGAACTTTGAACATTTTTGGTTCAAGAATGTAGTTTTCACTTTGGGGAAAAAAATGCTTTTTTTTTTCCAGGGGACAATAAATCTCATGGCAACTTATGAACCACCTGCTGGAGCTGTGCCACCTGACCCATCCAACCTTGGAAGCTCTGGTGATCAGGATGCTGAAGGGAGTGAGTCCTCATTGATTATTAATACTAATCAGGTTATTACCCACCTAAGGTGGTATGGTTTATCACTTGGTGTGTATGCACCAAGGCAATAGTACTCTGAACTTCAAAGGAACTGGAAGGCCAGTATATACTTGCACATTGATGTGCAATGTGTCTAACTGCAATTTTGATGCAAAGAAGTTCCAAATTTAGGCTAATAAGGTGCAGATAGAGTTTAACTTGAGTTAGGTAACAAGCTTGTATTTAAATGTGGGACTGGTTAAGTGCTTCTGTTCTCATCGACTTTTTGAAGTCACTTGTTGCTTTTTTAAGGTCAGCTGGTTTTCCATTCCACTTAACTTTGTCTAAATTATCTTTCTGTAGATTAATTGTTTGTGCCAGTAGGATAAGTGTTTTTGTTTGTATCGTATGTAGGTGGATTAAGGATTGGCTAATTGTCTGTTACACTACGTTTTATACACAATGGCTGGAGATGTCAGGACTGACCATTCAGAGGGAGTCACCAGATATTGTCAAGGATAGGCTGAGGTTGTTGCACCTACATTCAAAAGGGACTGAAACTGACCTGGGAGTTGCAGATCTTGAGTCAAATCTCAATTCCGTGCTTTTAAAACAACTGACAATCCATAGTCATCAATCAGCAAGTTCTCCCCAAAAGAGCTCCCTCATGCCACACTACCCACTTAGGGTGGGGGGTATAAATATGTACTGGAAGCCGAGTTGGACTGCTCTTATAGGCTTGAGTTGAACTCAAAAGCTCTGATTTGGGATAAATTTTGGGACTAAATTAAACAAAGCATAGCTGAATAGAAGATCTCAATCATAAGTGGGTGGGGGGGAAATGAATGAATGGGGTGCCCCAGGACTTGATGTTGGACCCACTGTGTGTACGCGTGTGTGTTCTTGAGCTCTGATCAAATTCAATACATGTTATGTTTGACACCATCTGTTAGGAGCGTTAGAATGAGAAACCAGTTTAACTTGGGAGTCAGAAAAGCAGTATTTTTGGAAGAGAAATTAAATGTTCAAGTGCGAGCTATTGGAATTGAAGAAAAGTGCTCCTTGAATGGTGCTGAAATAGTGAAGAACTGAATTGGAAAAAGACCCAGGAGTTTTAATTGTCCTCGGACATCAAAATCTGACCCACGAACAAATATACAACCAAAAAAATTTGATCCCACATCAGAAAAGATTGTGACCAAACTGATCAGCTTGCAGGCTAGGAAAATGGATTCTGATCCCTGAGATATAGACAAGGTTAACATCTACCATTGAAAGAAAAAGGAAGAGGGGTCCAAGTGAACATAGGCCCCCTTTAATAAATAAATCTGGGGAGATAATTATGGGAAACGAGGAAATGGCAGAGTTAAATATTTTGCGTCTGTTTAGTGGAGAGGAATTGAGTACCATTGCTAGAGAAGTAGTCTCATTAGTTTGATACAAAAGGCAGATAAGTCCCCTGGCCTTGATGGCTTGTATCTGAGGATCCTAAAAGAAGTAGCTACAGAAATGCGTGGGTTGGTACTTATCCAAAACCCAAGGATTTTAGGAAAATTAGAGGACTGGAAAACTGACATCACTATTTAGAAAGGAGGCAAAAAGTGGGTAGCTTTAGGCTGATTAGCCTAGCATCTGTTGTTGGAAAAACATAGATCATTTTCAAAATTGATTCTAAATTGAGCAGTGTCAGCATAGCTTGATGAAAGTGACTAATTTTCTGGGAAATTGTCTGACTAATTGTAGTAATTTTTTGTTTTGTAGTCTTGAGTGAGCAGGAACCAAAAGCTATGTTCTATTTGGACTACCAGAAAGCTTTTCACTAAGTACCTGGCAAAAGGCTAAATCCAAAGTCAGAGCTGATGGTGTTGGAGGTAGCATATTGGTGTAGATAGAGAGTTGGCCGATGGGCAGGAAGCAGCGATTTGGGACAGTCTATTTTTTTCACCGCCTTTGATTTCTATACTGTAATGAACTAATTCTGGAAACACTTGCTTGACTGAAGTGAGTAACACTATATTCTGCAAATTAGTTAACCGGCAAGCAGGACAGGATCTCACAATGGCAGGCAGACAATCTAACCGCAGAATGTATGGTTTTATTTCTCTTGTGTGTGCATTCCAGGTAGCTTATAGTCTAACTTGGCACTATAAACTGAAGCATTTGAGAATCTAGTGACTTTGCAATTTCACATGATTTTAGTCACATAGGAATTGTAATCTGAGCCAAACTTCACACAGTATATAAACAATGATGCAGATTGATATCCTGGTTTCCACAGAGCTGTTTTATCATGTGCTGTCTCTTCTCAAACAAATGTGTTAATGCCAAAGCAAAACACATATATTTTAATGATTTGCCAGGTAAAGTGTTATGTATTTACTGTCTAGTTTACCTTAGCTGGCTTCTCACCACCTATTAAACAGACATCAGCTTAGACTTGAATGGAAGCATACCACCAATGCCACCCCCGCAAAAAAAGTTCAGCTGTGCCTCGCTCCCAAGAATAGTGTCACTAGCCTGTGCCTGTTAATAAAAACCACATTCACACCCAGTGTTCTTGCACAACTTGACAATTTTAGCCTTAAGGCCTTCAATGGGAAGTCTGTGTTGCACCGTACTTCTGTTCTCCAATTGCCAGAATGCATGGAACACAGTGTGTACTTTATCCCACTCTAGCAGTCAGTGAAGAGTAGGAAGAAACCAGAGTGTTGTTCAAATGACCAGTTTATTCATTGAAACAGGAAAGTGTAAAGCAGTGAGGAAACCTTGGCCATCCTCACACCACTCTCCTACACAGTCGGCTCCTAATTCCAGCCATCACAGAACCAGTCATTTCCTCTGTCAAAAAGGAACAAGTTGTCTTGTTCAACTATTTTGACTTTTACTTATTGATAGTCCAAAAAAAACACAAGTAGTTAATTCTTGCCTTCAACTGCGACTGAATCCTCTGCAGAGAAAGAGCAACTGGAGTAAAATTGGCCCCAATGCTCACTACCAGTTTGGATATGCAGGGGCAGGGGAAATCCGAGAACTTTAAAATATTTTTGGTCTGGTGGGAGGTGGAAGCTGGATTGGGAGTCAGACCAGGCAATTGGGGAAAATCCCAAATGCCAACCACTTCCTATAAGGGCTTGTGAACAGACAGCCCAAACTAACCACTCTTTTTCTGATTTTTGAAAAATTTCGGAGTTCCCTGATGCCTTTGGCAGTATTTTCTTCACACTTCACCATAGGGGTAACTTGGATACCAAAAGGAAAGCACTGAACAGACCAGTTCTCAATTGTGCTAATCTCCACACTCCAGGGGCTAGTTTGTTTCAAAAAAAAAAATTCAACAGCTTTCTTCCCACTCAAATCATCTGCAGCACTCTTTCCAGCTATTATCCACCGCCACTAAATTACCCATGTTTCCTATTTCATCAACTTAAATGCAATGCCCAGTAAAGGCAATGTGTTCAGGGACGACTCCTCCAAGCTAGATTTCAATGAGGGCAGCTGGCTGGTTAAATGGTCACTTCCCTCTAGGAATTTCCACATGCTTGAGTTAATGACCAAAGCCAATCTCATCCTCACACAAATGAGTAATACCAGATTTGAGACCAGGTTGCCAACTTCTTCCAGAATTTAACCACGGTGCAAACTCAGTCCATCATGGAAAATGTAGATCATTGAATCTTACAACTCAATTGGACAATGTACATGGAGTAGGATTATTAGAAAGGGTGCAGTGGAGAACTGAACTAAAAAAGCCCCATAGCCTTATTGGATACCATTATGCTAAATAAACTTGTTGGCATTCAGTTTTTATTTCACTTTCATAGTCCCACCTTACAGTACTGTTTTGGTTTATTGGATCACAGTCATCATGGTACAGTATTAGTTGAATTGGCTTGTCATTCTCTGATCAGGATGAGTTTTTGTGGATTGAAGGAAGCAACTTGTGTGCGTTGTGGAATAGTGCTGCTACTCTGGAAAGCAACATTACAGGCACTCTCTGGATGTATCTGTTACTAAAACGCCAAGCTCTCCTGACATGCAAATTATTGCTTTTTCTGTCACTCTTTGAATACGATCTCTAATTCCAAGAATCTTTTTTGGCTAAAGCTTTCCTTTGAGTATTTTTACATCTATCATAAGTAGAGTATGACCAGGCTGTTGGCACAATTGGCATTCTTAATGCTCCAATTATTTAATGGTTTTCACTGCCAAATGAACAGCTCCATATAATTCTGGGTTGACTGTCCATTACTGTTTGTCAACTGATTTGACATTTTAACATCGTATTGTTTGAGATGTAGCGGTGTTTGTGAATCGGCTGCATTGATCTGATGAAATATTGCTGGAGGCAAAACTTGCTGCTGGTAAATTCTATATCCGGCTTTAGTTTCAGCTCTACATTTCTGGGGAATGAGACAGCATATGATGCTTACTGTGACACTTTTTTGTCTTTCTAGTTCAAAGCTTTTAAGTGTTCTGCTTCTTTCCCTGTTAAGACTATAAGACTTAGGAGTAGATTTAGGCCATTCAGCCTGTCCAATCTGCTCTGCCATTAGATCCTGGCTGACTTTGGATTTCTCAAATCCATTCTCTTGCCTTCTCCACCTAATCGTTGATCCCCTTACTTAATCAAGAACTGATCTGTCTTTAAATATACCCAATAACTTAGTCTCTGTAGCCCTTTTGCAGCAATGAGTTCCATAGATTCAACACCCTCTGGCTGAAGAAATTCTTCCTCCTCCCTCTTCTAAAAGGTCCTCCTTTCATTCTAAGGCTGTCCTTGGGTCCTAATCTCTCTCTCAGCAGAAACATTCACCTCCATTCTATCCAGATCTCTCAGTATTTGAAGCTTTGAATAAGATCCACCCTTAAATTTTGTAATCTCCATAGAGTACAAACCCAGAGTCCTTAACTGCTCTTAGTATGACAAGCCTTTAATCTGTGTGGGATCATCCTTTGTAAACTCCCTCTGGAACACCCCGTGCCCAAAAAAAATCCTTGCTTCAATACTAGAGCTAAAGTTGCTCTCAATATTCCAAATGTGGTCTATCAAAGCCCTATACAGCCTCAACAGTACATCTTTGCTCTTGAATTTAATGCTAATGTTACATTTGTTTTCCTAACTGCCAACTGAACCTGCCTTTTAAGCTTGACAATACTGAACCAGGCTCCCAAGTGCCTTTTTGTGCTTCAGATTTCCAAAGCCTTTTCCCAATTTAGAAAATAGTCTGCACCTCTGTTAATAACAAAGTGCATGACCTCACACTTGCTCCCACATTGTATTCCATCTGTCCCTTCTTTGCCCATTCTCTGTTAGCCTGTCCAAGTCCTTCTGCATCCTCACTGCTTCCTCAGCACTAGCTGTATCTCCACCTATCTTTGTCATCTGCAAACTTAGCAGCAAGGCCATCAGTTCCTTCATCCAGATCACTGAAGCTGACGTAAATAGTTATAGTCCCAGCCTGGACTGCTGCAGAGCTTCACTAGTCATCAGCTGCCATCCTGAAAAATAATCCCTACTCACTCTGCCTTCTGCCAGTCAGCCAATCCTTGATCCATGCCATACCTTGCCCCTAACACCATGAGCAATCATCTTTAGTAGCCCCCTGTGCAACACCACTGGCTTTTTGGAAATCCAAACAGCTCATTTCCACTGGTTCTTCTTTTGTCTAACTTTGTTCATTACTTCCTCTGAATTCTAGCAGATTTGTCAGGCATGACCTCCCCTTCACAAAGCTGTGCTGACTAAACCTCATTTTACAATGCTTTTCCAAATACTCCGCAATCTCATCCTTAAAATGGACTCTTTAAAAAATTTTGCCAACAACTGAGGTCAAATTAACTGGCCTAAAGTTTTCCTGCCTTCTGCCTCCTTCCTCCTTAAACAGTGGTGTTATATTAGCCATTTTCCAGTCCTTTTGGGACTCTCTCTCTGATTCCAGTGATTCCTGAAAGATCACCAATGCCCCTACAATCTCTTCCACTATCTCCTTCAGAACTCCTGGGCTGTAGTCCATCTGCTCTGGGAGATTTATCCACTTTCATATTCCCCAACACCACCTCGTTGGTGTTGGCCACTACGTTAACCTGACTCCTGACTTGATGTTCTTGTATGGCCTTGATTCCTCCGCTGTGTAAACTGCAGAGTATCTGTTCAATTCCTCTGCCATTTTTTTGTTTGCCATTGTTACTTCTCCAGCCTCACCTTTCCAATGGTGCAAATTTGCTTTTGCCCCTCAACTTTTTACATATTTAAAAAACTCTTGCAATCTTATGTTAATCACGAGCTTGCACTCATTTCATCTTCTCACCCATTAGTCCTTTTTTTTTCTTACTTTGGTTAAGGGCTTTCCAATCCTCTGGCTTGCCATTAATCTTCACCACATTGTACATTTTTTTTTTTACTTTTTACGCTGTCCCTGACTTCCCTTGTCAGCCATGGTTGCCTCCAACTTGCCTTGAAGATGCCATCTTCCTTGGGATTAATTTCTGCTGTGCCTGCGAGGCTCCCCTTCCAATCAGCTCTGGCTAGCTTCTCCCTGTAGGCTTTATAGTTACCTTTTTAACCAATTTTTGTAACAAAGTTGCATCTGTTTCCAGTTTCTCTCCCTCCATCTACAGGGCAAATTCAATCGTATTATGGTCACTGTCCCGTCAGGGTTCCTTTGCCTTAAGCTCCCTAGTCAGGTCTGACTCGCTATGCATCACCAAATTGAGAATTGCCTGTTCCCTAGTGGGCTGGACTACAAACTGCTTCAAAAAAACTATCTTGTAGACATTACATGAATTCCTTTTTGTGATCTGCTGACAACCTGCATATTGAAGTCCCCACGATTATTGTAAGAAAGGCACTATTACGTGCCGAGTCTATCTCCTGAATTTTCTTTCCCACATCCTGACTACTGCTGGGAGGTCTGTACGTAATGTCCATGAGGGTATCTCTCTTCCTTGTGGTTGGTCAATGTTACACAGATTCTACTGACTATATCATTTCTTATCAATTTAATTTCATGTCTTACTGACAAGGTAATCCTGTCCCCTTTGCCCATCTGCCTGTCCTTTTTTGATAGGAGAAGTATTCTTGGATATTTAGTTCCCGGCCCTGATCCCCTTGCAGCCAACGTTGTACCTGACAATTTCAATCTGTGCTACAAGCTCATTGCCCTTGATTTGTATACTGCATGCATTTAAGTACAACACCCTCAGTCCTGCATTGATTGCCCTCCATCTGCTGTCTGAAGTTTGATTCCTGACTCTTTCCATACTTTGTCCTATTACTTTGCCTGGAAAGGCTAATAACCTCTTCTGAGCCTTTGCACCTCCTAAACTTTGTCCATGCAACTGAACTCCCTCCCTCCACTCTTTAGTTTAAAGCCCTATCCACAAACAACGGATTGTGATTTGCCAACACTCTAGTCCCAGCATAATGTAGGTGGAGCTTGCCCATTGAAGGGAATGGCTTCCTCTTTTTCCAGTACTGGTACTAATGCCTCATGAATTTAACTTGTTTCTCCCACATTCGTTGTCTAGATGAGCACCATCTTTGGTTTAGAAGCTAAAAACTATAATTGATAATGCTAATTAGATTAAATGCGAGCTGTTTAAGGCCAAGCTAGATTCTGTAGAAAATTTTGACTCCACCTTAATGTGTCCCTTTAGACTAAACTGAAACCACAGCTAGCTCATGGTACTTAATTTTCCTTTCTGGGCTGGCTGTGTTTGTCATAACCATCATTGACATGTGCTTCTCAACATTGTGTCAATTAAAGAACCATGTGGTACTGACCCATTCTGGGTGTATAGATGAATCAATCTGAGGTTGTACTGCATAGGGATGTGTAACAGTGACGGCATGAAGGTGTTGAAGTACCTGGTTATTAAAGTTCCGTGAAGGGACCAGTGTAGATCTTCAATACTGAAAGGCTTGAGATTGGTCACGTCTTTCTTGACTGGTTCCAATAGGATTGAATTGACACAGCTTAAACGTCAATATTTAAAAGGCACCTGGATGGGTATATGCATAGGAAGGGTTGAGGGATATGGGCCAAATGCTGGCAAATGGGACTAGGTCAGATTGGGATGTCTGGACAGCATGGACAGGTTGGGCTGGAGGATCTGTATCTATGCTGTTTAGCTCTAGACTCCAAGTCGGCCTTCTGTGTGACGTTTTCATAACATCAGCTGTTTCACCATGTTTCTTGGGATGCATTTGCTCCATAAAGACTGGTATGAGCAAAGACTTGAGGTTCTGTTGTCATCCTTGTAACGGATGAGAGTCGTCCCACTTAATTTAATCCATTATACCATACCAGACATAAGTCAATCCCACCAGTTTCCTGGCACTTTCAGGTAATGTTCAGAAGCAAAACTGGTCTAGCAATGAAAGCAAAGTCTGCATAGATTAGACATGAAGCCACTTAGCATGACACTGAGTGGGCTCCTGATTTGTAATCTATACCCCTGGCAATGTTATTGGTTTCAGGACAGAAGGAGAATACCACCAATGGAATTTAGCTGTCAAACTTATCACATCACATTAAAGTCTTTCTAAACAAATTGGCAGGGTTGTCAGCTCCTGGTGCTGAGTGAATCCCCAAACTGGTGAGCTTCAGAATCCACTTGGTACAAGCTACATCTGTGTCACCTCCAAACAATTTTTTTAGGATGATAAAAGCTTGGACAAAAGTGGCCTGAGGAAATTTAAGGGTCGGGAAGGCATGGAGTAAATTCAGAGACCTTGTCTTTCATTTTCACAGAAATTAAAGAGCCAATACCAAAAGGACATGGATGCTTCAGAGAGGGTGCAGAGGAGGTTCACCAGGATGTTGTCTGGTATGGAGGGTGCTAACTATGAAGAGAGGTTGAGTAGATTAGGATTATTTACAATAGAAAGACTGAGGTTGAGGGGGGGACCTGATTGAGATCTACAAAAGCATGAGAGGTATAGACAGGGTGGATAGCAAGAAGCTTTTTCCCAGAGTGGGGGACTCAGTGACCCCTAGTAATTATTTCAAGGTTCGAGGGAAATAGTTTAAGGGAGATATATGTGGAAAGTTCTTTACGCAGAGGGTGGTGGGTGCCTGGAACATGTTGCCAGCGGAGGTGGTAGAAGTGGGCATGATGCATCTTAAATGATGCTATCCAGACAGATACATGAATGGGCAGGGAGCAGAGGGATACAGATCCTTGGAAAATAGGTGACAAGTTTAGACAGGATCTAGAGAGGCGCAGGCTTGGAGGGCTGGAGGGCTGAAGGGCCTGTTCCTGTGCTGTAATGTTCTTTGTTCTTTGTTCTTTGTTCTTTTTGTAATACCGTCTTATTTTGAAGTAAGGCTACTGAAGGCTCTGGTCTTGCTTCACATTTGCCATATTTCTGTCATACTGGTTTTTTCAATTTCATTGTCTTGAAGGAGGTAAAGAAGATCGCTAACTTTTTTTAAGTATATTCAAACTTAAAAGGCACCAGTGATTTGTGGGTCTCATTTCACGGCTGATGGATAAAACTTGACCCCTCGATAATACAAACCTACAGAGCCCCTGATTTGGCCCTCAGTCTGTGCAGTGTTAGTCAGGTCAACAGGTGGCAGGCAATAGGAGCCATTAAATTCCTGTGGATAATCCAAATGAATTTCTGATCAACTGCCATCAATTCATGGCCTTTGAACAGTGAATGTAATTGAACACAAGTGTACAAGGCAATGTAGATTTCCTTTTCAGATTGATCATGGTCTTTTTTTTATTTTAAAAAAAAAAAAAAAAAAATTTCTGATGGGACATACTGCCATTGACAGATGAAGATGAGGATGCGGAAGATGAAGCAGGTGATGGTGGAGGAACCCCTGGAGCTCCCAGCACGCCACGCCAGGCAGCAGCCCATGTTAGCAAACGACTCCGAAAGAAGAAAAGCAAGAGATTACTTTCAAACAAGCCTCAGGATTTCCAGGTACAGAGCATCCTTTCCATTAAAATGGCTAAATCATAAACTGAGTCTGGTTTATACTCTGAAAATTGTAGTTGGCAAAACTTTAGATTGTTCTTGATGTTACTTATTTGCAGGAAAGCAATTGGGGTGGCTGCAGACAATGCCTTTTCTCTTGCAGAAATAATTTGGATAATCTAGTGCTCAAATTGTGGAGGCTCAAAGACTTAAAATGCAATGTATTGCCTACCATCTGCATTAGTATTCACTAACAAATGGAAGTGACTGCAAAAGTTGAAGTTTTCACAAAATTAGAACCTCTAATAGTGGTTCTAAAATGTTATTGCTGAATAAACTGCATCTGATTACCAATGAAAGCAATATACTTCAGATGTTGGAAATCTGAAATAGTGCTGGAGAAACTGTTTAGCAGCCACTGCAGTCCATTTCTATCTGTTTCTCTCCAGATGCTGCCAGATCTCCTCTATCTCTCCAATTTGTTTTTATTGAATCTCATGCCGCTTCACCTTGTGCTTTTCAGATTCGGGTGAGGATAATTTCAGCTCGTCAGCTGCCTGGTAATAACATAAAGCCAGTTGTGAAAGTGACTGTCTGCAACCAAACCCATCGAACGAGAATCCGAAGAGGAAACAATCCCTATTTCGATGAGGTAAAGGAAAATCCTTCCCTCTATCAACTAAAATTCACTCACCAGAATTAGCCACTCAATGTGCTTTTTTTTTAAAGCCTACCTCTACATAGTAAGCTACTAAAGAGCTGAAGCTCAACCATAACTGGGAATTTTTAACTCTTACACAGCTGAGTTACTGATTCACTTGGGTACCTCTCTTTTAAATGTCTGTCTGTTTTTCCCTTTTCGGCACCTAATCTAGGGTGGTGCTTCTGGGAATATGTAACCTCGGAGGTACCATCTTTTGGGATCAGTTAAATCAAGGCTCAGCCTCAGGTTTTTATTTAAGTCTCCAACACTTTACCAAGCAGAGGTCATCTTGTGTCCTAATGAGCATTTTATTCCTTAATCAGTGCTACTAATAAACAGTGAAACTATTAGTGAAAATTGGCTGTCCTGCACACACTCTCAATTGACTACAATTTGACAACACATCAGTCAATGTTATTTAAAATACAAGTTGCATACTCTCTCCATGTCTGGGTTTCCACCGGGTGCTCCAGTTTCCTCCCAAAGATGTGCAAGTTAGGTGGATTGGTCATGGTGTTAGCTACAGTGTTTGGGGAGGTGTAGGTCAGGTGCATTAGCCATGGGAAATGCAGGGTTACAGAGGTACAGAAGGGGGATGGGATGGGGCTGCTCTTCTGAGAGTTGGTGTGGACTTGGGCCAGTGGCCTGGTTCCACACTGGGAGTCCATGTTCCCAATTACTAAAACTTCTGGATTTCTGCTTCTGCTATGTGGCAGGCTCGTTTGAGAGAAACTGACTTCCTCCTTGTCACTATCAATGACATCCATAAGAGGCCTGATATACAGTTGTAACTCCATGTAACAACCCCCCCCCGCCCCTCCAAAGAATGACAACATATCAGTGTCAATATAGATGCCAGCTAGGCCTACCAGTGCTTTCTCCAATGATGCTGGTTATGGCTGAAGGACAATGACTGCCCACCATAGAGTCAGAGAGAGGCTCATTGTAGTTCAGCTGTAGGCAGTTCTGATGCTATGTGGTGTATGTGACGAGTAATACGGTGCAGGGGATGAGGAAAACTCTGACATTAGAAATGGGGGTGTCAGTTGAGAGTCAATTCCTGTTGCTTTTGTACAAACCTGTGCTTGAAATCCATCCTGCTGTGGGTTATCAGGGTTGCTGTTTAATATTGGGTCTCCTGTAGTTGGCAGTTGCCAGTCCTCCTGGTCAGCTAGAGGCTGGTAGTTCTTTTGGCTGGAATTTCCATACTGGTGATCTCTTGATCCTCCGAAAGGCACGCTGTGGGTTACTAAATACTAGCAGGCCTTCAGAGAGCAGGGGTCCATGAGTCTGGTCTTCAGCTAACCACAATTCACCATCCAAGTTCTATTGGAGAATATGCCTTCCCTTTTATTCCCTCACTCTATCCTGATCCTAACAAATGCTCAATACCTGTTTGCAGCAGGGTGGTGATAGTCAGTCAGCCCTAATATTGGGGGTAGGAAGTAGAGTCATGAACCACCTTTTTAGTCACGGGGATATTTTATAGCATGGAAACACTATTTGCTCTCAACTGGAATTTGCCATTCTGCTGTATCAAGCAACTAAACCATGATCAACCCCATATCCTGTAAGCTGGCAGTCATGTACAAGAAAACGTTACTGAAATGGAGATTTGAGATTTCCATGTTTGTTTCAATATTTGTGCAGTTGTATGACAGGATTGCCAGTAATGGTAACTGTACTGGAATGAGGGAGTATTCCCTTGGACTGTATAATTGTCTCCTTTTTTCATTTTTTTTCTCTTGGTTTTTGTCCTGCCATCCTATCTCTCTCTCGACTGTTTGGAATCATTAGTTATCAGGTCATACATTATTGAATGTTGCAGTATTTTTCAGTGGTGCACATTTTTTTGTTAACCAACAGTGTTTTGCTGTCAACAGATTTTCTTCTACAATGTAACTCAATCACCAGAAGAACTCTTTGATTCATCGATCTTAATTAGGGTAAGTTTTCATGGCATATCGCACTAGTCCTATTGTGCACAATTTGAGGCTGGCTTAATGTGTTGCTTTCTGTCTAGGTCTACAACTCTTTTTCACTGCGATCAGATTCCTTAATGGGAGAATTCAAGGTAAGGTTTTTCTTTTCTAATTTCCTTTATTCTACCTATTAACTTCAGTGATCTGTGGGTTCTCTAACTCCATCAGTACAGCTGCTTCTAACTTTCAAACAAAGTTTGTTTTTGGTTTACTAAATCTCCTATTCCTCAATTGCAGCATGCTACTATGAACTTTAAGATGAGACAGTAGGTGACTTGCAAGTAGCTGTTGTTGCTACTGTATTCCCAGTTGCCCTTGAGAAGGTGGTAGTGAGCTGCTGCCTTGAACAGCTATTATCCACATGCTGTAGGTTGACCCACAATACCCTTAGGGAAGAAATTCCAAGATTTAGACCCAGCAACAGTGAAGGAATCTATTTCCAAGTCAGGGTGATTAAGTTAAAAGGGAACTTTTAAAGTGGTGTTTGCATGTATCTGCTGCCCTTGTCCTTCTAGATGGTAGCAGTCATGGGTTTGGAAGGTGCTGTCTAAGGATAACTGGTAAATTTCTCCAGTGCGTTTTGTGGATTGTGCACCGTGCTGCTACGGAGTGTCAGCGGTGGGGGGAATGAATATTTGTTGGGTTTTTGTGGTGCCAATTAGTGGACTAATTTGTCCTAGATAATGTCACGCTTCTTGTGTTGTTGGAACTTCACTCATCCAGGCAATGGGGAGTATTTCAACTCATTCCTGACTTATGCCATGTAGGTGGTGGACAGGATTTGGGAAGTCAGGTCTGCTACTTCACGATTTCTAGCCTGTGACCCATTCTTGGAATAGAATTTTGGGACGAGTCCAGTTCAGTCTCTGGTCATTGGTAACCCCCAGGAGATTCAGCCATGTTAATTATGTGAAATGTCAAGCAGTAATGGTTAGATCCTCACTAAGGATTTCCAGTCAAGTCTGGATATTAAAGTCTTGCTGCATTCAGATATGGATGACTTCAGTATCTGAGTCGTCGAGAGCTGGGTTGAATGTTGTGTGGTCATCTGGGAAAATCCCAACTTTGGACTTTTATTGACAGAAGATCAGTGAAGCAGACTAAAAAAGAAGTTTAGGCCTAGGAAAGTGCCCTGAGGAACTAAAGCGTGCTTGTGGCACAGTGGTAACTTCCCTGCCTTTTGAGCCACCTCCAGCGGTGGGTGATAACCCTGAAAAGATAGGGTAGAAATTTGGTAGTCAGTGGAACTCCAGCAAAGTCCTGATACGAGATAACAGACCTCTGACAACCACCACCATCTTCCTTTTGCGCCAGGTATGACTCCAAGCGGGGAATACTTTACCTTGCTTCCCACAGAGTCTCCCTTTGCTTCAAATTGATTAAAATGCTGCCTTGATATTGGGGACAGTCACATTCTCCTAAAGTCTGGAATTTGGCTCAATTGTCCATGTTTGAACCAAAGTAGTAATGAGGTCAGGAGCTGAGTGGTCCTGGTGGGACCCAAAGTGGGTGTCACCTGAGCAGGTGCTGCTTGGCAGCATTATTGGTGATCTCCTCCATTTTGCTGATCATTGAGAGTGGACTGAGAGGGCAGCAAGTGACTAGGCTGGATTTGTCCTGTTTTTCACTTAGAGCAAACCCGGACAATTTTCTACTTTCAGTGCTTGCCAGTGTTGCACCTGTGATATTATAGCTTTGCAAGAGGCTGAGCAAGTTGTGGAGCACAAGTCTTCACTATTGGAATATTGTCAACGCACATAGCTTCGGCAGTATCCAGTGCCTCCAGCCACTTCTCCAAATCATGTGGAGTGAATCAAATTGGCTGAAGACCGGTATCTGTAATGCTGGGGATGGGTCATCCACTTGGCACTTCTGGCTGAAGATTGCTGATGTATCAGCCTTGTCTTTTGCACTGATGTGCTGGTCTCTTCCACCATTTGAGAATTGGGATATTTGTGGAGCTGTCTCCTCCAGTGAGTTGTTTAATGGCTCTCCTCCATTCACGGCTGGATGTGGCAGGACTGCGGATTTGAATTGTTGGTTGTGGAATCACTTAGCTCAGCTCAGTCTAGCATTTGCTGCTTGTGCTGTTTGCCATGTTGTAGTTTCACTAGACTGTGAATTCATGTAGAGGTATACCTGTGTGGCACTTGGCATGCCCTCCTACCCTCTCCTACACCCTCACTTGAAGCAGGGCTGATCACCTGGCTTGATAGTACTGGTAGAATGGGGCATATGCTATACCATAAACAACATTCAGTTGGATTGCAATTCTACCGATGGACTACAGCACCTCGTGATGCCCAGTCTTGATTTGGTAGGTCTGTTCAAAACCCATCCCATTTAAAATGGTGATAGTGCTACACACTGAGGATTTTGTCTCCAATAACTCATTCACTTTGAAGTGTTCCTCTTGTGTTCTCACTTACTGCTCCATTAGACAATGCTGTTACTAAGTGCCATTACCCTTTGGGAGTTTCTTTTTGCTAAAGATGGCACAAGTAACTTGGAATTTATAATTAGGACTTTTGTTATTAGTAAATATCATACTGTGTTTTTACATTGTGTAAAATGTTAAATGCTGGTGTAAAAATGACTTTCAAAGAATCTTTTTTAAACTTGAAGCCATTTGTAAAAAGATTCCTGAAAACCACAGTTTAAGAATTTCAAAGCTGAATATAATCTTTTTTTTAAAAAAAAAGTAAGGCCTTAACTGCCCTGACTGCCTCACCTTAAGGTTTTTTGAATGCCTTCTCCTCTGTTGAATAATGAGTGGTTAGCAGCTCCAATAAACTTTTTGTTTGAGGATGGACCAAGTTAGGCAACATAGGAAGGCTGTGGTCCTAATCTCCATGGAATAAATTAACATTTATGGCCTGGCTGTCTGCCTTGCAGATTGTGGTGAAATACTCCCAAATGAGCTGGATGTGTCGCTTCAATATCGCTCAAGCTTATTGCCATTTAGTACGAAGCAACATGCTTGACATCCTTGCCCTTCACCACAGAATCTTGATAGCAGCAGTATATACAATTTACAAGAGGTACTGCAGAAATTCATTAACAATCCTTAGACAGCACCTTCAAACTGATGGCCACATTTATCTAGAAGGACAAGAGCAGCAGATAAATGGGAACACCAGGCCAAGTCCAAGTTCCTTTCAAGCCACTCACCATCCTGACTTGGAAATATATCGTTGTCTCTTTGCTGTTGCTGGCTCAAAAATCCTGGAATTTCCTCCCTAATGGCATCTAGTGATAAATGACAGCACATGGACTGCAGCAGTTCAAGAAGGCAGCTCACCACTGCCTTCCCAAGGGCCACGCGGGACAGGCAATGTTGTCATCTCCCATGAGAGAATAAAACATACAAGTTCCCCCTCCCCCATCAAGCCTGATGGATACTCTCCCACTGAATAGCTTCTGCTTTGGTCTTCTGGTAGTCGCAGGAGGAATTGGGATTGGAATTGGCTTCTGAAGTCTCAGTTCCCTCCCTCCATCCCTAACCATTGCTGTTCAATCCAAGATTCTGATGGTTTTGGAGCAGGCTGTGGTAAAGGCAGTCTGTGATTGGAGAATTCTGTAATTCCCATGTACAGAGGTCCAGGCATCCAACAGGCCCTTGCTATGATTGAGTTCTTTGAGGGCAATTTTTACCTGCCACTGCATTTCACTTAGCTGTGTATTTTGTGTGTCTCCCAGTTTGCTGGAATCCTTCCAGGCCTTAGAGGCATTAGTCTTCCTATCACTGCAAAGAGAACATGTGAATCTACTGCACAATTTGTCAATCACTTAAATCGGGTAGGGGAATCCTGAGCATAGAAGCAACTAATGTAGCTTGCTGTGCATAATTCCCAGATAACAACCTGTAGCCTTTTGTGTGCTGCATGAGATTTGTCTGCAAAGCAGTGAATCAGACTTTATTTCAAATTAACCATTTCATTTGTTTTTCAGTTGGACATTGGCTATGTATATGATGAACCTGGTGGGTACTTTTTTTTTTCTTTTCCCTTCCACTTTTCCAAAACTTTGACACTTGTAGGACAAATTGCATACAATTTGTCTGGTCTCCTCCTGATGTGCTGATGCTGTAATTTCTGCATAATTGCTTCTATTGCTTCATGATACTTTCAGTGCTCCTGCTTCAGTGATGTCTTTCCTGTTTCCATTGTGTCTCCTCCCCCTCCCCCTGCCCAAAAATGGGGGGAGAACTGTGGAGTCACAGTGGCAAGAGAACATGGTGCCCAATGAGTTTATCCAATTAATGAACACAACAAGCAGAGTGGGAAGAACTTTGCTGTTAGTTGACTTGTTATTGGGAGTTGGCAGAGACACTCATTGTTCCCAGGGCCTACTGAAATAGGGAAAATGGACCATTTGTTTCAATTCCACTTGCTATCCAGGAATTCCTGCTGGGAATGTGCTATCCAGGAATTCCTGCTGGGAATGGCTAGGGTGCCCATTGCTGAATATCCAGCATGCTCGAAGTGGCTAGGAGCATTGATCTCTCGAGTGTTCGAATGTAAAACCCCTGGTTACAATCAGGCCACACACAAGCATCTCTTTTCTTTCACATGCATGTGCAGCAACTAATAGACAGTACACAATGCTGACAGGAAAGTCAGCAATATAGGTTTGGAAATCATAATCAAATGAACCAAACAGGAGGTGTTCTTTTTCCTGTTTCATGGGATGGTCAGCCTTTGCCCATCCCTAATTACCCTTAAACTAAGTAGTTTCTGGAGTGACCTCTTCACCAGACCAGGTGAAGATGGCAGATTTCTCTCTGACATTCTTAGATCAGACCATAGAATCCATACAGTGTGGGAACAGGCCCTTTGGCACAAGTCCACACCAACCCTTGGAGCATCCCACCCAAACCCATCCACGTAAGCTACACATCCCTGAACACTATGGGCAATTTAGCATGGCCAATCTACCTAACCTGCACATCTTTGGACTGTGGGAGGAAACCCATGCAGACACAGAATGGCGACTGTGAAGTTTGCACAAAGGGTGGAATTGAACCCGGGTCCCTCGCACTGAGGCAGCAGTGCTAGCTACCATGTTGCCCCACAGCTCTTCTCGAACCAGATTGATTTCTCTGGCATTCGATGCTGTTCATGGTGACCGTGAAACCTGAGATTAACTTTCAGTCCCATCCTTCATTTATTATCTTCAATTGAAGTTCCACCAGCTGTACCCCATGAGCTTTGTACTCAAGCCTCTGGATTATTAGACCAGTGACAGTGCCACGACACCACTATCTCAAGTATGACGGCTGGAAACCAGGATTAGATCAACCAGATGCAAGTGTTCTTAATGACATTTTTGCACTGCACTGAACAGTGCAATGTGATCAGCCCAGTTTGCTTTGTTTTTGATAGCCATGCATCAAGAGATGGTTTTTGTAACTTGTGACTGAAATCCTTGTGCCTAAGATGAATCCAGTGCTCATTGCCATGAGCTATTTCTTTATAAAAAGAGCTTTATTCAGCTGTCATGGGACTCTGTCTTTATTCATTCAGGGGAATGAGGGCATTGTTGGCTAGGCCAGCATTTATTCCTTATCCTGAATTGCCCAGAGGGCAGTTGAGTCAACCACGTTGCTGTGGGTCTGGAGTCACATGCAGGCCAGACCAGGTAAAGATGGATAGTTTCTTTCCCTAAAAGACATGAGTGAACCGGATGGGTTTTTCTGACAATCAGCAATGGATCCATGGTCATAATTAGACTCTTAATTCCAGATATTTATTGAATTCAAATTTCACTGTCTGCCATGGTGGGATTCGAACCCAGGTCTCTGGATTAACAGTGCAGTGATAATACCAATAGGCCATTGCCTCCCCGCTCAATTACCAAACACCCTCAGACACCACTTTTAAGATTACCACCCACAGCATTAAAATAAAACTGACCTAGCCCAAGGTTCCGTGTGGTTCACTGTTAATACACCGCATATGTCCCATCTGTCATTCTAGGGAGCTGCCCTTGTTGATGGGCAGCACTCACACCCCCTACTTGTAATTTGGAGGATAGCGAAGATTCAGGCTTCCACTGAGACAGGTTGAGCCTACAATAAGATAATGGAATAGAAATAAGTAAATGTGTGGCTGTTGTAGACAAGTGACTATCAGGTGATCAGTACAGATTTCCTTTTACAAACATCTTTTGAAGAATCAAACATTTCTTGATTCAAAATGTATTAATCCATCAAAGGGCAGAAAGTGACATGTTCTTGGGTGTCCTCAACAATGTAATGATTTCCCTTTGAATGGTTTTCATTGCAATATTTCACTTTGAATTAAAGCAGCTCAAACTAGTGACTGGGCCTTGTTACTTTGAGGGCTCCAGTCGCAATGAGGTAATTTCCCAACCTTTACTCAATCAGATGAGTAATCAAATTCCTTTCTTCACAATTATATCTCCTCCTGTGTTGTCATTTGTAGCTTGATCCATCAATGTATGCCAACTTCTGTAAATCTAACCAATTAGTTCCACTCCTTTCTTGGTGTTTAACCTGTAGCCCTGCAGTCTGTCTTTCTCTGGTTTATCCAGTTCTGTTTTTAAAAACAAAATTATTGAAGCTGCTTCTGCTGCCCTTCATTCCAGATCACAACCGCTCTGTTTTTTGGATGGTTTCCTCTCTCTTCTGAATCTATTGCGCATCAACTTGTATCTTTGCCAGGTCTAGTTTCTCAAGGTTTTTGAAAGCTGTATGATTTTGAATATCTTTGGTTTTTTTATTCCCAAAATCTCCTGTCTGTATTTTAAAAAAAATTTCATTGTACGATCGGACTGCATTCATAATTGCGATGATCCCATATACCTTTTAACTTGTCCTGTATCTCTCTCCCACCTATGTTTTAAAATGTACTTTTTTAGGTTATAATGTCTCCCCTAATTCTTTGAACCAACATGAACTACTTCACCTTCTGTCTGTTTCACCAGTCTACCTCCTGACAGTGACTGTCCTCTTAACTGTTTTCCCCCATTTGAGTTTGGTATCAACTACTTTGAAACCTTTACATTGAACCCTGCTCCTTATTAGTATGCACCATGGAACAATGTCTTAACAGTAGCCTGTTAGTACACTCCTTCCCTCGAGCCAGAAAAACAACTGCTCACCACGTCTTCTTTGTCCCTGAGCTAATTTATATCCATGCAATCACTGCCTTTTTGCTCACTAGTCTTAAGTGGTACTTTATTAACTGGCCACAACAATCCAATTATACACAATATCGCCTCAAAATACTCTATCAAGTCAGTCCAACAGATTTAGCTCTTAACAGATCATTGCTAACTTGCCTGCATTTACTGTTTTTTTTTAATCTCCTTGTGAGAAGTTGCATAACATTTTGAAGTCTTCCATGTCCTTGGGCACCTCTCCTGTTTGTAATGAACATTACAGAAATGTTGCCCAGAGTTTGTGCAATTTTCATCCTTTCTTTCCTTGACTACTTTGTACATGTCCTATTTGACCTACTTTAATTACAGCCAAACTTTTAAGTAGTTTCGCTTTTAAACTTCAATACCTTATCCTTCACTTAAGGTCTCCTTTTTTGGTCCCTCAGTCCCAAACTCCCTTCTGATTACTTTTTTTTTTTTGCTAACTTTTAATTTATCAACAGACTTCTGGGCTAGTTTTGTAACCTGCTAATCTATTTCCATTAACTCAAATTCCCTTCAGTTTTTTCTTTTCTTTTTTCAATTCACCTTGGTTCTCAACTGTGGACCTGATGTTTACCCAAACCCCTTGTTTTCCCTGCTTCATTTCCACCTGTGACTTTAGCCATTCAGGGAGTTCTAGCTTTTCCTTTTTTTTGAATAGAACACGTTTAGTCTGTACCCGAACCATTTCTTAAAAGGCCTCCTTTTGCTAATTACAAATTGGTCATTGGCTCAGTCTGTGTGAGAGCTGGTTGTGGTGCTATAATGGATATTGGAATAAAGACTGCATAATGGTAAATATTTCCTACACTATTGGGCATAACCTAAATTGTTTGAAGATTCTACTTCCGGGCAGTTTAGTATGACTGATGTTGGACAAATCATAATGCTGGTTTTGGTTTTTAATTAACCTACAGGACATGCTATTCTAAGGAAATGGCTTTTGCTTCATGATCCTGAAGACCCAAGTACAGGATCCAAGGGATACATGAAAGTCAGTTTATTTGTCTTGGCGACAGGCGATGAACCTCCGGTAATCACTTTACTTCTGGATTGACTATATATTCATCCTTGAAGAAAGAATAAGGTTTATCCCACGTGATGAATGGTTAAACTGCATCCCAACAACATTGAGCAGTGATTGTGTTTATTGTAGCACAATTTGGTCTCCTGCAAACAACATAATGATCCCAGCAGTGTCCTATCATGGACTGTGACTGAAACTGGATACCAAATGGGCCAGTTCTGAATTATGTTGGACCTATCTGAAGCATAGAATGTTTGTTTGTTTTTTTTTAGGGAAAATAGTGAAGAGTTGTTTTGCTTTAAACAAGATATTCACTGCTTGAAACCAAAACAGACGGGTGAAGGGTGTTCTGAATAATTTGACAGTCCTTCTTTGAAATTTTGCGTTTGGACAGTGGGAGAAAGCTACCACTTGTTTGTTCAATATTAAGGGAGTGTAAATGGTGAGACAGCAGATCAAAGATTAATACCGAAATTATTTCGGTAAAGGACTAATAGTGACAAGTTTTTGTGTGCATAGAGCTGATGATTCTGTATGGTGTTCTTATTCAGTTGATTGTTTACACAGAGGTTTGCAAAAAGTAAATAAAACTTCAAATCTTAAATAGTGCTTGAGCATTTTTGTGGAGGGATTGAGACTCCTTCTCGCTTAATATAGTGATGTGATTGTCTCGATCTGATGCAATTCAATCACCAGATTGGTTATTCCATTATTCAATGCTATTTGCTATTGGGTGCCCCCAAATTTGGTAGAAAGGACGATTTTAATAAGATCTTGGGCCTGTTAAGTGGCACTAGCCCTAGCCGTAATATCACGGGTGAACACCAGTACAATTATCCCTGAAAAGGAGGATGTCACTAACGTAAGTAATCAATCACGTTGAAAGTACTTTGTTTCAGTAAACTTTTTATTTAAGGACTGTTGGACATTTCATTGGCTTTGAGCGATGAACACTGATTTTTGCTCCTGACTGAAAAACAGTGCTAAAATATTGCATGTTGAGGGAATTGCAAAGGTATTAGCTGGAAGTAGGAGGGCATTTGACTTGATTATCTCAAAGCAATACCAGTGTCCTTGATGGGCAGCAAGGCAAAGGGCAGGAGTCCAGGGTGATATTGTGCAGCTCTGGCCTTGGTGTTGTGGTAAAGGTGAAACTTTAAATGAAGAAGTGCATTTTTAAGGAAATAATAAAATGAAATGGTTATGGGGAAAGTATGCTCTGAACTGCATTTAAACTATCATTACACATCCAGGGGCAATAGTGCTGATGGTATCACAGTCCAATATCTCTGCAGTTTCTGATTGTAGTGGGAGGCTTCTGAAGTTGATGAGAGGCAGGAACAGCAAAGTGACATGCTACTTCACTCCAGCCACTATCTGACTTTTAACAGCTTTTTAAAAATGATCTACATTCCCAGGTTGAAAAGAAAGGAGTAAATGAAGAGAATGACGATGTTGAAAGCAACCTGCTTCTCCCTGCAGGTCTCTCACTGCGGTGGGTGACTTTCCTTCTGAAGGTCTACAGAGCAGAAGACATTCCACAGAGTAAGTGACCTTTCTGGTTAAAGGGCAGAATGCAGTACTTTTAGAAACTGAATTTTAAAATATTGCAACCAGCAAAATCCTAATTAGGTTGTGGTATCTGTATATGGATTTGTAAGGGTTAATATTGAGGAATGCCATAAGCCTCACCCACTTAAGGATCTTGGAGTGAGACCTACCATCTGGTGCTCCTTACAAATACTCACTATCAGTCAGAATCCCCACAGTGTGGAGGAAGACCATTCAGCCCATTTGAGCCTTCCCTGTCTGAGACCCAGCACCCCTAACCCCTTCATTTATCATGGATTGCAAGAGGAAACCCACATAGACACGGGGAGAAAGTGCAAACTCCATGCAGTCGCCAGAGGGTGGAATCGAGCCCAGGTCCCCAGCACTGAGGTGGTGGTGCTAACCACTAAGTGACCTTATTGCATCATTGTAATCTGTAACTAGTTGGAAACATGCAAGAAACTATATCTAGCTAACGATCAGGGACTCTCCTAGTCACACCAGCATGTGGTCATGGCCTATTAGACCAAACATGCCCTGTAGTTTGCTCTTTGAACTGAAGGAGGAATATGACTAGTTCTGCCCATGTACACTGCCTTCATTGATCACCTTTCATTTTCCAGTTTATTTACATGCAGTTCATGCATGACATGCAATAAAAATATTTGGTGGGAGAGCAGAAGACCCCAAAAGATGGAAACCTGAAATGAAACCTGGTACCACTTAAATGGGCCTCTATCTGTGGAGAGTGAGAAATGGAGTTGATAGTTCATCAGATGTGCATTGTGCTCCTGCACTTTCTCCACAGATGCTACCTAACAGTTTGCTGGGGCCAGTTAATATTTAATAATGTTCTGCAAGTATTTGAATAGGAAAAGAATAAAGCTCGCTTTGGTCCTCTAGAGAGAACCTGGAGGAATTGGGACAGGTCAGAAGCATTGAACAGGTATTTTCTCAGTCTTCACTGTAAGAGACTTGGTAAACTTCCTAAAGATAATGTAAAAATTGTTTTACTCTTATCCCACTCCAATCAGCATAACCAGAGACTAGGTGCTGTGAAACACATTGTATCTAAAGCCTGCCAAGTTTGCAGGACTTGATGGCCCATATGAGGGTCTTAAAAGAAGTGTTGACACAGGTTGCAAGTTGCCACAATTGCTTGGATTATGAAAGCTACCAAATGGATTGGAAAGCAACAAAAATAACACCCTCCCTCCAAGGGGAGGAAAGTGGGGAAACTGTATAGGTCTAAGATCTCTAGTAGAGAAGGTACCACAATCCATTGTAAATGGGTTTATGGTGGTCTGCTTTGAAGATTGTGATTGATCGTGTAGAGTAAACAAAGCTTTGAAAGGGAAATGGTGTTTACTTAATCTACTAGAGTCTTGCACAAAAGTAACATCCACAGTGAATGGAGGGGAACTGCTCTTCCCCCTATGTCCAGTGTCCCAGGCTGCTTTTGTTGATAGTAGCCATCCTATAGAACCCTTTCAGTTGATCCAGATTAAACAGGAGAGGTCATGAGAAGCAGGTCAGAGGTGACAACGCATGCATCTGTGTGGGAGATGAGATCTAAATTGATCTCTATCTGCTCTATAATGGTGTGACCGTTTGAAATTACTGTTGGATACAATCCATCTTGATCAAAGAATATTCTTGGGTTTTTTCATTTTAGTGGATGATGCCTTTGCTGAAACTATGAAGTCAATATTTGGAGCCGGGTCTGATAAGAAAAATCTTGTGGACCCATACGTGGAAGTTGGCTTTGCTGGGAAAAAGGTGAGAATCTGGTTGTCCATGTTCTGACTATTTTTGGGGAGTGGAAGTTTAGCTTGCTAGTATTGTCCTATGGGATGTAACACTGATGTTTTATATTGCTGTAGCTCTGTACAAAGATTATAGAGAAAAATGCCAACCCTGAATGGAATCAAGCAATCAACCTTCAAGTCAAGGTAGGATCTGCTTCTTTTCATTAACTGCAGTTACTGTTTTTGGTATGTTGGATGTTGTGACATTGGTCATGCTGAGTCAGAAGTAGTTCCCATGCTTTTTTTTTATTGCCCACTCATTTAGTTGTTCTGTTGCTAAGTTGATCTAATGTTTACTTTTTTTGCCTGAGAAACTGTTGGGCAGATGCAATACCTTGGCACTGCTGGAAGATGTGCCTCAGATGCATTGGTGATCTAGGCCTGGTACCAAATTCAAGGTCAATGTTGACATAGGTGGGCTTTGGTACTCCATGTTAGTGATTAAAAATTGACACGCAATATGACAAGGGAGTAAATTAAACATTAATACGTTCTTGCAACATTTTAAGTCATGGATCTTCTGTAGCCTTTGAACATAGGTTTTGAGTAACATTCAGGAGAATAGAATTAAATATAAAGAACAGCTAAAACATTAAGGTAATTGAGCTCCCCCATTTCAAGGTCTGTTGTGGTTTTTTTTGTCCTAACTTTCCATGGGGTTAAGCTGCTTTGTCCATATTTAAAATAAAAACTTGCTCAGCAAACTTAATTCCATTGGTACCCCCATCCAACCAATAGAAGAAAGCACTCTTATATTGAAGTAACTGGAGAATGTAATAAGTTTGACTGCAGGAAGTCAAGTGGTGCCTACAAGTGCATGGAGATGGAAGGTTTCCTTTAAAATTTTATCTGAATGAGAATCTGTGAAATGCACAGTAGACATTCACCACTCTTAATGTTTGAGAACACAAAGTAACAGCTAAATGTCCCATTCATTTAATTTGGTCTATATTCAATAGGAGGCCAATGATAGGTCAAAATAGCATCACACTGCACCCCACTTCCATTAGTGCAGTGTTAGCATGAACCTCGATCCTTTGCTTATCTATCCAAACTTGTATTTTCTGAGGATGCAAATTGACACAGTAGTCTTGTTTTCTTGTTCAAACACGTGATAAGTTCCTTTAACTTTTAGACTTGGTCTGCAATTTTCCAAGTCGGAGCTGTTGGTGTACAAGTTACAAAGGATGCACTGAGTTGTTGGTCAAGTTGATGTTTAGTCAGGTGGGCTTTCCTCATAAGTAGAACATTAGCATGCTGTAGAAAATACTTTGAAATTTCTAAATTGATGTTTGTTTTGAAATTTTAATATTGACTTAAGATTTTAAAATCTGTCTTGCTTTATTAAACTTGAATCTGTTAATACTAAGTGGAGTGTTTATTGCTTGTTCTGATGAGCAGTGTGAGCATCCTTTTTTATCTGGTTGACTCTCTGCTCTATATTGACACATGACTTGGCAGTGTAACCATCATGTTACCTTTGACCCATCAGATCCACACACCTTCCACCTCTCCAAAACAAACCCAAGAAATGCTTGGTGAGATGTGTATGATATGCAAGTAGTTAGCTGTTCAGTTTCACATCCCATGATAACAGTACTTCTGATTAGATGCCTTCTATAAATATAATTTGAAAAAGACCTATTTCCCAAGTAAGCAGCTACTTTTTTGTCCTCTCCATCCTGCAGTTTCCATCTATGTGCGAAAGACTAAGTTTGACTCTGTTTGATTGGTGAGTATGAAGCAAAAACTTTCATTGCTTGTGTATTGAATTTAATAAAAAAATTATTACACTATTTTTGGGTATGTTAAGTAGCAGTTACTAATGGTGAACAGTAAAAGCAGCCAATAAGTGAGGGAACAGTGAAATACTTTTTTAAATGGAAGGTGACAAAATTGTTGCCTGTTTCAACCTATTTTCAATGCTGCCATTCTTTAACAAAAGATTGGTTTACATAAGTCATTAATGCTGCTTGAACAGTAGACAACTTTTTTGATAGGGTTAATTTGTAGTTTAAGCAGCAATTTAATTGTACTACATGTAATATTTTATTTCAGTTTCTTGTTTTTAGTATGGCTTCTTCAATCCTTCGTACAGGTTCAGGCCAGACTTGTAGATTTGTTTTAAAGTTGATTAGCAATACATACAATCCATGCCCTGTGTTGCACTAGCACAGGACTGCGGCCAGATGGGAGGCTGATGAGCAGCTTTGTTTTTAAGGGCAGGATATGGCAGAGGGGTGCAAAATCGACACTTTAGATTTGCCTTGCGTGGCTTTCAGCTGGGGCTTTTTTGCCTGTGCAGTTCCCAGAATCTTCAGCACATAGTTTTGCACTCTTTTTGGTTCAAGTATGTTTTGGACATGACACTGTCTGCTGAGCATTTTCTGTCTGACCTTGAGTTCCCATATCGAGTTCACACAGTAGATTTGTCTAGCAGATCAGTAGGTTGGATGTTCAAAGCATGGCAGACAGTGTTGTTTCCCTTTTTTTTTTTTTAAAATATGCAAGGATAAAGATACAGAATTCCTGCATCCCTGCCCCACCACCTTCAAACTGAGGTAATTATTACCGAGTAGCTCTGATCTCTGGTTTGTACGAGCATTGTAATTAGGTGCAAAATTTTCATCTGAATAATTTCCACTTTGGTACGTACCATGTTTGGGCCATTCACTGGTTCAAATACCAGTCGGAAGTGAAATAACATGGTTTCTGCTAGCACAGTGATTGCAGTGGAAATCTGGTCAGAGTTCAGTTCTTATCCTCTAGTGGTGGTTATCCAGGGACCCACCTGAGGTCTATAAATGAGAATTACTGTGGTGTTTTAGTTTCTGCAAATGTCAAAACTGGCCAATATCTTCCAGGGATCGGATGACCAGGAATGATGCTATTGGAACAGCATTTTTGTACCTCTCCAGGATAGCATCATCTGGAGGAGAAGTTGAAGGTTAGTGTTTTCAGTAGCCTGTTACTCAGTTATTTCCAGCTGGAAAGCTTCCCTGCGGATTCTGGAGAGAAGATAATTTTGTCCAACTGAGTGAAAGTATTTAAGGATCTGATGTGGGACTGCTGTATTTTTGAATGTTAATCTCTGTTGGAATTTTTAGAAGCTGTAAATATGCAGCCTTCAAGGGTAGTCAGTGGTACCATGGTACCAGGGACCAGTCAGTCAAGAGGCCCAGACTAATGCATGGCAGTTAGTCAAATTTGATTCTGTAAGTAAATCTGGGATATACTTTTTGGTAGTGGAGCTAGGAACTGGCCTAACTTTTTTAAAGAAAAATACATTCCCTGGTTCACTGATGTCCTATTGGACAAGTAAATCTGTGTAGCAGCTTAAATAACTAAGTGAGCCATTCAGCTCAAGCACTATGAGGGAGGAACATGCCTGACTTTTCCAGTGATGCCCACACATCACAAATGTATGACTCGATACAAATCTAACCTCCTTTCTGAATGTATATGGCTGGCTACGTGTTGCCACTATATGGATCACTGTTACCTAATGTATCCCTTATTTGGTTTAGATGCCAATCTATGTTCTCCCATTACATAATGGCCACTGGAGAATGTAAGACTTCATTCCAGTGATTGCTTGCATGCCATGTCATGAAAATATTATGAAATGTCTGAAATACTTCAGCTTTTGAAAGGGGTTTCCAATTGTGATTGCTGCAAAAGGGTTGCACTTTAATAGTCAATTTTCTTAAAGCAGCAGGTTTCCGATATGCAGAAGTCTTAGTGCCAAATTTGCTGCAGCAATAAGATAATCACAGGTTACTGAAGACCTGCTGTTGCATGTCCCATTTTGTTTTTCTTTAAGTATCAATGAATTTTCAATCAGTCTTCCAGTTGTTTTCCCTTTGATTTCCTCAAAGCTGGAGCCTGACATCAAAGAACTTCAGAAGGCAATCAGCAGGTTGTTTCAATTGATTCAAACAGTTACTGCTGAAACTGGAAATAATTGACTGAGGATCAAGCCAGTAGTGACGTTTGTTTGTTTGTTTTTGGTTCCTCTTGCTTTTCTTTCCCTTCTCATTCCTTCTCTACCTATTTTAATAACCTCACATTCAACAAGTCCTTTATTTGGACAGAGACTGTAATATTGTCAGAGAATTGATTTAGTCCTGCACCATACTGAGGCACTTTATATGCTTTCCTTCAGCCCTAACGATCTGCCACATGTACAAGAATCCTGCATTTCACTATATGGTCTGTGGTGCAGTGGTCATGACCCTACCCTGAGCCAGAAGCTTGGATTCTAGTTGTCTTGTCCGTAGCTGCATTCGTAACCAACATATTTCACTGCATGCTTAAGGCAAAGAGATGTTCCTCCAGCAGCCTCTTCCAGGAAAAACTGGCATTAGAAGCAGCACAAGCCTTGTCAACTTCATGAAGGAAAGTCTCCAAATTTCACAGAATCCCAACAGTGCAGATAAAGGTCATTCACCCCATCAAATCTGCATGGATTCTCTAAAGAGCATCCCACCCTATCCCTATAACCCCAGACTTTCCCCATGGCTTGTCCACCGAGACCCCACATCTTTGGACTGTGGGAGGAAACCGGAGACCCACACAGATGCCAGGAGAATATGCAATCTCCCCACACAGTAGCTCAAGGTTGGAATTGCATCGAGTCCCTGGCACTGAGCAGCAGTGCTAACCATTTGAGCCACCGTGCTGCTCCCAAAGCATGGCGTTGTATTTATTCACACAACTCCACTCTTGCTGGTTTTACAAGAAAATGAAGTATACAGCTCGAGGTTAAGATTATTTAAATGTATAAATATTACAAATCACACGTTTCTCCCATAACTTTCATCTCTTGAAAAGTATTCTGATTAAGAAATGTACCAGGCAAGATGCTAGTAACATTTTTTTAAAAATTGTGCTCCCAAACACTGCTGGGAATCTGATAATACAATGTTGAGGATTCCCATATTGTAGGCTTTTTATGGTCCATTCTCTAAATGAGAATGTGAGAATATTTATTTTGTACACAATCTAGTGACAAATTTTGTAGCAAGTTACTGCTGCAAACATCTTTGACTTTTTTAAAAAAAAAAAAGTGGTCTACAAACTTGTATCTGCCATTTTAAATATATGATAGTGCTTTGTGTTTTAGTTGTTTTTAACCTTGGAACTGGAACGTTGTTAATACAAAGCACTGTAAAAGCTGCTTTTTTTTGTTATTATAGCATCTTGAAGCTGAAGGGTAAGGTACATCCTGGATGAATGAACCATTGTTTAGCAACATCTAATTTGGAAGTCTTTTTGAATTAACTGAACAGGTTATCAAATTACCATAAGTTTGTTTTTTTGACGAATTGTTTTCTAGTCAAACAATTAAACCCACATAGTTTGTTCACCCCTTCCTTCCCCACCACTACCACAAACCTCCTTCCAGGATTTTCTTGTTGGCTAACTACTAGAAAAAATGTTTCCAGGGTGTGTATTATTTTATAAACCATCTTTTTCTAGACCCCCCAAGAAGCTCACATACTGTGAAGAGCAAGCCAGGTAAATTGCTTCCAAACCACCTTTACTTTGTCCTCAAACTAATGGTATGGAGGTATCCAACAGCCTGTAAATGACACTTTTTTTTTTTCACTTTCTCCTATGTCCCTAACTCACAAGGTGCTTGGTTTCACTTGATGATTGGCATTACAGTATGGAAGAAATGAGAATCTGATCTCGCAGTTGCACAGTGGTGGTACATGTGGGTGCACGCATATGCAGTATAAACGAATTATGAACCTGGTTGTACACTCTGCCTACAACATTTAGTGAATGGTTGATGACACTTCACTCTTTGTAATGTTCTAACTTATTTTTCTTTCCTACAATCCAGATGATGAGGGAACTGGGGCTTCTCCAGCCATTGAAGGTTTATTTCTTGGTCTAATCTTTGAACCTCCATTGCCAAAAGAGGGCTTGGGGTTGGTGGGAAGCTATATACCATGTACACATCATGCATTGTGGAATGGGTGAATTTGGCTCAAATGATACAGCATACTGAGACTTCTGGCAATGGATATTTTCATACATGATGCTGTTGGACTTGAGCTTCTTTAGCTGGCTTGGCAATCTTTTCTTTCCATTTAAGTTCTGCTATCTAAAGTACTGATTTCATCAGTTTTCTTCTGCTGTAGGCCCAGCTGTGCATTTAAGTGGTAACATTTTACACTTTGAATTTCATGCAAGTGTCAAATTGGAATTGAAAGTAACACTAACACTGTTTTTAACCATCCAAATGAAACACTTTTTGTAGGCTTTCTTCCTTTCCTTTTTTTTTTTTAAGCCATTTGTCCTCCATGTGGTACCTCCCATTGAGTTATGCTATTTCTTGGCAGCTCAGCTGTCCAGTAGTTTGGTCACTTTGCAACTGGGAGCCAGCTCAGTGCAAACTAATACTATCTGTAATCTCTCAGTAAGGTTACTGGGCAACACTTAGGCCAGTTCAAGTTTGCATTTCTGTTCTAAATCCAAGAATGTTGAAGATACTTGTGATACGAATCTGCATTAACTAACATTGTCCACATAATCGTGGGCTGCCTGGTGCGTACGCTGTACACTATGTATATAATACTCCAGGAGCAGTCTCTCTAAGGCTTGTACAGCTGTGGCAATATTTGTTTGTTTTTTTTCTCAGTAAAAGGATCGAACATGAAGGCACATGTTTCGTGATTTGCATGGAGTAGTTGAGGCCTGTAAAGCACTGCCTGATAGTGTAGTGGAGGCATTCAAGAGGGCATTAGAAGATTATCTGAGTTGAAGCAATGTGTACGGTTATGGGGTGAAAAAAGCAGGAAATTGCAGACAATAGGCCAGATGACATCCTCCTGCCATTGAAACCAATGTTATTCACTTTGCAGTAAGGAACATTTATTCATCGGATGATTAGTGCCCATCGTGGTAATTTTGGTGCGTAGATAACTTGGTTCCCGGTTATCTGAAAGAATTTTAAGTCTGAGGTCTTCCTCCGTTTGCTATTCTTGGTGACTTTGTTAACATGTCTGTCCTTAATTTCATTCCTGCTCAACTTTGTGAAGCAAAATTTTGCTCTGCTATCCATTATCAAAGTGAAATATGGAATTCCATCATGCCACTAAAATGCACAGTGAACCTACTTCTGGCTAAATGCTACATAAATTGCATGCAAGCATTTTGCAATCCAGATCAGCTTTTTGCTTTGTGCTTGATGTTCCACAGAAACTCTTAAATCATGACTGTACAATGTGTATAAATGACTGATCAAGATTAGACACAATTGCTGGTTATTACTTTATCTTTTGTTTAATGTCGTTTCAAAGAATTAGTCAACTCAAGTAAAATTTATTCCTAGGCATGAATTAGAATATCTTTCTTGCTTTCTTTCTTTCTGTCTTTTTTTTCTGTTTCATTCTGCTTACTTTTTCTTTTTGACCTTCCTTTTGTGGGATGGTTTATTTTGAGTGATGGGTTTAAAATAACTGACCAATTGGGGTTTAGTGCATGATTTTAAAAAAACCTTGAGTAAAGTAGATTGAGCAACTTTTGATTTGAGTTTAGACTGTAGTTTTGTGTTGGGTCCTATCTCCTGCACAAGTAAATGGGGAACATTCACTAATGGGAAGAACAATGGGCTGTGAAACCATCTGCCAACTCAATGAAATTCTATGAAAGTGATAAGCCAGCCTTATGACCATGTTCAATAGTGAGAAAGAAGGACCAACCAAACAGACTGTATATTGCTGTTTGATGTTAAACTGTCCAGGAACTTCAACTCTCCCTAATGCACCTTGTTTCAGTGATGCTTTGTTTTGAAGCAGCATTGACTGTCTATGCGATCCAGTGGTTTGGCAATTGAAGGGAACTGGAACAATATCTTTAGCAATAAGTTGCGCGTGCATGTAAAACAAATTAAATGTCTTCTGTATAATTAGCAGGCACACTTATCCATCTCCCTACGTTAAATTTTCTGTTTTCCCAATCTTTCTCTTGCTGAGAATAGCTCTTGGACCTTGGGGTTCATTCAATTATTAAATGATTTGTTTCTATTAGTTTTAACAAATCTTGAAAATGAAAAGTCTTCTGAATCATAACATTTTGCTATGCTGTGTTCAGTTCAGTTTCCCAGGCTCCTGTCTTCAATATCTTATTTCATCACCTCATCTGTTTTAGCCACTTAATCTTCCTGTCTCCTTTTCTCAGTTTTATCACTGATAGCAGACCCAGGATGACTTGCTTCTTGACTTTCTACCTCTCCTTGAATATCCTTTCCAGATAGCACTTGATGCATGGCCAACAAGTGCTGCTGCTAACACAGGTCTTATTGTTCTTTTGTATTAAGGATGGATATAATTTCATTCTCTTGTACTTCCCTGTTACTCTGAAATGCAACATTTTTACAAGCTCTTCCAGACAAAACATCAGCATGTTTGCTCATGAATTTGAATTTTTAAACTTTTATTGAAGATTTTTAAGCCAATTGTGTCTATCCCTTGAATCTGTCTTGTATTTTCCTTTTAAATAGTGTGCTGGAAATACACAGGTCAGACAGTGTCTCTGGTGAACAACAGCGAGTTGAAGTCTCTGGATGAGAGAACTTTCTCATCAGACCCGAAATGTTAACTTCTTTTGTTTCTCTCCACAGATGCTGGCTGACCTGCACAGCATTTGGATTTCCAGCATCAGCAACATTTCGGTTTTACAGTTGATTAATTTTGTGGTAGCAGTAAAAGTCTGTTGGTTTATCAAGTTCGGTATAGCTACATGCTTTCTGTTTAAACTGGTTTATGTTAAACTGGGTTCTGGCTAGATGATTCCAATGCAGCATTTTTTGTAATTTTGTCGATTTTAATATTTGGCTTCAGATTTTTTGCCCGTGGGGCCTCAGCATTGCACATCTGTTGAAGGGGAAGAGTGAACATTTTGACTTTTCCAACAAAGATAGTGATGTATTTCCAGTTTCGGGTGAACTTGAATCATGGAAAATTAACTTTGGAGAAGAGAGATCAATCTCCAGTTTCTTGCCTTTCCTTCTCTCTCCCTACTTGTTCAGGGTGGGTGGGGAGACGGAAGTCCCATTGCACCCAGTGGTGTGATGGGAACTTTTTATGGACTAGACCAAACCCCACCCCCTCACCGATTTTATATTAAGAAGGTGGCCTAGATCCTAACTTTCTTATTTTAAAAGGTGAGTGTGAAGTGTTGCATTCCAGATGGAGTTCAATTGGTCAAACTACTTTGTTAAACAAAACATACTTTATTTTTACGCTACAGTTAAAATACATAAAAATTGGCTATAAAATGGTTAACATTTCAATTACCAATTGTTCCAATATATTAACCTCCCATAAACTCTCCCATGGCAATTCTACCAGCTAGAAGAGAACCCCAGTTTCTCGATATAACAGGTTCCACATCCAGTTGCAAGACCCCAGCAACTACAAAGTAAAATTTTTTAAAAATCCTAGTTCTATGGGAGTTTGATTCCACCCATTCAGGCTGTTCCGACAGTCCCAACTTGCTTTTAGAAAACCCCTAAGGCGCCTCGGGCTCTTTTAGTGACTTTGAGCTGACTGCTCAGTGCCTCTTTCTCCACTCTTCACTTAAAAGGACAAAATACACCTCTTAAAGCTGTAATATAGTCACAAACTGATCAGCAACTAACAACAAAGGGATAGTTGATATGCAAGATTTTCTTGTAGAAGTTGCAATAGTGAGCAGCAAATATAAATGGCTTATTGCCTGGCCCACGAAATTATTTAAGGATAGGCAAATATTATTCCATCTGGTACTAATTAAAATGAACTGACATTCCTCTTTTCCCACTTATTTCCCAACCCAACTCTAATCCAGCATTAGTTCTATTTGTTGCTGAACTAAATGAATGGGGTTTCCGTTTGGTACTCTAGTCAAGGAAAAAATTGCTCTTAGCTTGAAAGCATTACTCTAAGAACTTGAGCTTAAACTTTACTGCTGAAGAAGATAATTAGCAATGCATTCCAGTACTCTTGAATTTCCAATGATAAACTTTGAACCTTTTTGAGTTTGACCAACCTCATTTTATTGCAAGTGCATTTCATGCATCTGCGCATATGCTTACAAACTAACATACTAACTGAACTTGAGAACATCTGTTTTCCAAGTGCCTGCAAAGTATGATCAACTTCTGTTTTGATAGGTGACACGGGAGATGAGGAAGTAGGATTTCTTCCAGCTTTTGGGCCATGTTATGTAAACTTTTATGGGAGCCCCAGGGAATACACTGGCTTTGCTGATCCTTACGAGGATTTAAACTATGGAAAGGTTAGTTAGATGTGATTTAGTTTGGTACTCTATATGCATTAACTAAGTGAAAATGCATTGCTTCTTTTCACCAAGGAACTTGCTATTGTGTGTGACTTAATTGTTGGGTGATGTGAATGTGGAAGTCCACGTGTGTGAACCTGTATATTGTTTGACATCATTGACTGTCTTGTTCAAATGACGTGATTGAAAATAAATACCATGCTGAACATTTTTTTTTTTGCAGCAAACACTGGCACATTCAGTTAATTTACATATTGCACTGATATTCCTGGCTGTTACTCCATATTTGCAAAGACCCTTTTTTATGGTCTAGACTCAATCAATTGTATAACTCAAGACTGGCGACTTGGATGGTGAGCAGGTTCAATGCACACCCACAACACACTCAACATGTCCCTGATCTTTATGAATCTGACCAATCACTGCATTACTGAACTGGCTGTGTCCCTGGCTCTTGAAAGAGTAACCTTCAGAAGTTTGGCAGGTCTGCAAGTTGCAACCAGTTGTGTGCAGCAGGAAATTGTCACTGCAAAGTGTTTTTTTTTATCCCCACTAGGGTCTGTTCTGTCTTGTTTCATTTTGTTAATTATAAAAGTAAACATCACATCCAAAAGATAAATTTGGGCCTCCATTCACCAGAGCTATTGATCAGCCTAACCATTTGATCACTCTTTGCCCTCCCACCTCTTCCCGCGCACACCCCCCCC